TGCTTGCTATCTTTTGCTGTATTCCCAGAGAATGCAGTGATTAAGAAAAGACTTCTGATGCATTGGTGGATTGGAGAGTGCTTTGTTAACCCTTCAGCATTTGGAGAAAATGTTGATGAAATTCTTGAGAAATTCATGAAGAAGGGACTTATTCAGCCTGTTTATGAGAAGGCCAAGCTACGGCCTAACAGCTTTAAGATGCTCCCCACCGTGCGTTCTTCGGTTATTGTCATTGCTAAGGAAGTTGGATTCTTTGAGTTTGATGATAATGGAAACCCAACAATGGAAGTTTCATTTTGGAACAAGGCATGCTTAAGGGCAACCAAAGAGGACTTATCCCTGCAGGTTCCAAACAAATTGGAGTCTCTAGAAACATTGTTTAATGTCAGCGAACGGTTCCCTGATTTCACTTTCAAGTGGCTTTCCAAAATGAGTAACCTCAAAGTTCTTTACTTGGGAAGATGGGAGAGCACCGCGCAGCGCCACATTGAAGTGGAAGACACTGCCTTCTTGAAAGACTTGAGAGGAATGAAACAACTAAGGCTTCTCAGTTTTCAAGGAATCTCCAGGATTGAAGAGCTTCACAGTTCCATTTGCAAGCTCTCCGATTTGACCATCTTGGATCTTAGGGCCTGTTACAATCTGGAGACTCTTCCAGAAAGGATAGACTTACTGAAGAATCTGACCCACTTGGATATCTCAGAATGCTATCAGCTAGATCGTATCCCCAAGAAGCTGTCCTCATTGTCAAACCTCCAAGTCCTTCAAGGGTTTGTAATTAGTGATGCTGAAAAGGGAAGCACATGTACATTAGATGAGTTATCTGGGTTGAAAAGTTTGAGGAAACTCAGCATCAATATAAATACAGACGGTTTTGGGTTGAAACAACTGATAAGTGCTCTAAAAGGCTTCCAAGGGCTTCAGAGTCTCAAAGTAGCATGGGGTGGAAGACTCTCACAGGCCAAACCAGATAACAATCAGGAGAATGATGACAAGAAAAAGGAAACGCTTAAAAGTCAGGAGAAGAAAGATGATCCAGCCAGATCCACCACAAATCAGGAAAGAACTCCAGGTAACAGGAAGAAAGGTAATACGGCAGGAATGGCTATTGAAAACCAACTAAAGGATGCAGAGAAGAAGAGGCAGGAAAGTGCAGTCCTAAACCAGGAGAAGAGGATTGATAACAGGGAAAAAAAAGGGAGTAGTACAGAAGCTGTTGGCGGTCGCTCGGACAGGAAAGTAGACAATGAAATTCAAGAAATCGCCGAAGCAGAATCAGCAGCAAGAAACCAGGACAAAGGTGAGACTAGCGCTGGAAAATCAATGGATATCAAGCTGGAAAAGGGGATTGGCATGGAGAAAGCAGTAGCTGCTGAAGAGGGTAAGAAAAAGAAGAAGGTGGGAATTGCTGAAGGAGAACCAAAGACCGGAAACCAGGATAACAACAGAGGAGAAAACAAAAAGCCTACAAGTCGTACCCAACTAGGAAAATCACTCTCCAAAAGAAAAAGTTTCCACCGATATTTTAGCATTGATAAGCAAGAAAAAGATGAGGATAGACTTCCAGCCAACCTCCAGAAACTGGATCTTGAGTGTTTTCCAGAAGAAAAAGCTCCCGACTGGTTGATGCCTGTAAATCTAAGGGGTCTAAAAAGGCTATACATCAGAGGAGGAGGACTGAGAAGTTTAGGTGAAATCCCAAAGAGAGGGGAAAGCAAATGCAGTGTTGAAATTTTACGCTTGAAGTACTTGAGTGGGTTAAAGTTGAATTGGATTGAGTTGAAGGCATTATTTCCCGAATTGACATTCTTGGAGGAATCCGGGTGCCCAAACATCACATTCTGCCCTGGTGATGGATATGGAGTTTGGCAGTTGCAGAAAAAAGCAGAGTCAGAGAAATTGTAAGAAATAATGCTTCTTTCTTGTTTTCCAGCCTAGTGTTGTTGAAATATAATTCAAAGTTTGAACAGAGTCTTTTTCTTAAACAAGTTTCTTTTACAGTTACAAATAAGTAGCAGAGTAGTTGTGTGATTTGATGAAGGTTTTTTTTTAAGCTCTGTTTGTTATATATAAGCCAATATATAGAGGCTTTTTTTTCTTGTTTTATACAGACTGGAATCAGAAGAAAGTGTTTGCAGGTTCTGCTACGTTTGCTTTTCTTGCTTTGGTTTTCTTTTTACTTTTATCTTTTTCCCAGCCTAGTGTGACTGGAATAATTTATTATGGTTTTCATTAAAAAAAAAAAAAAATTATCATTATTATTATTTTTAAATGTAAAAACTTATATTGAATAATATATTCAAGAAAATACTTATGAAAAACTAAATTGTTGAGATACAACATACACATCGGGAGGATAATAAAGACGTTGACAAATTGATAAACTCGATTTATGATGGGGCCCATTCTTTACTGCAACTCCCTCCTGAGCATCCTCTATTTAGTGTTTTTTGTTTCAAATTATGTAATTGTGATTTATGATTATTTTTATTAATTCTTTTGTTATTCTCACCTTGTATAAATATATATATATATATATATAAATAACTTGTGTTTTTAACTAAAAATATTTTGTGTTTTAGTGAGTAGTTAAACTTGTATTTTTGAGAATAAAAACATAAACATAAATCTAATCAAAATAGTCACTTAATGTCAAAATCTAACTTTTTTAATTTTTTCAAAAAATATATATATATATATATATTCTTTGGACTAAAAATGAGATCTTCCTTGTCAACATGAAACTCCAAAATTTATTTTACTGGTGTTAATGTTATGAATTATTTAATAGACTTTCTCATTACCTTGTTCTAGGGAGAAGGTAATATTAAGAATATATTACAGAATACAGGATCAAAAAGCCGAAACATGGTGTGTTCTGTGTTTTCTTTTTTTGGGATACAATCGAAATTCAAAGAAAGAGGTTAAAGTACCCCTAGACAACAAAGTGGTTGGTGGCGGTGGCGGTGGCGGTGGCGGTGACGGTGGTTTTCAGCTGTCGACCCTTGATTTTCCCCATGGCTTTTGCAGCTCTCGGCAAACCACCGCATTTCTTCATCAGTTCTTCCTTTAATTCATTAGAACAAACCCCAACTTCGCTTCCTTCTTCCCTAACTCCCTCCTCGTAGATTTCCCAGCAACTCCCTGGATCCCTTAGTGGCAGAAGCTCATGCAAATTCTCTTCCCCAACCAGCCTCTTCGCCACTTCTCTGCTCCTGCTCGTCACTATAACTCTTCCTCCATACCCTTTTGGAAACCCTAAACAAAGTTGATCTCCCCATTTCTTCCCCCCTATCACGCTATCGAATCTTTCATTCAACCCATCCGATTCTCGACAATCGTCCAGCACCACCAGGTATCTCTTCCCCCACAACTGCAAATGAAGTGCGTATAGTAGTTTTGAAATATCATTCTCACCTTTCACCACGTTTTCTTCGGCTCCTAGATTCTCCAAGAGTCGTTTCACGATTGCAGTCTTTGGATCTGGGTCCTCTCCTTTCTCTTCTTTCGACATAGATATCCAGACCCTTGGGACGAAATGGCTCCTCACCTGTTGGTCTGCTAGAATTTTCTGGCATAATGCCGTTTTCCCAACACCCCCAACTCCGATAATGCCAATGGCTTTGAAATCTAACTCGTTTTGCTTGCGGAGAAAATTTGACATGGACAATACCTCGTTTTCAAACACTCCGCCAGTGGGTGGAGGTTCTGGCTTTGAAAACTCTCGGGGGACCACTGTGTTATTCGACGTTGAGTTTGCCTCAGTGCTAGTGTTTTGGTGTTGACTGATCGTCGTTCCATTTGAATTTATTTCCTGTTCTTCGTTTCTGGAATTGCTTGACGAAGTAGTGTTTCTTGTGTTTAGGCACTGAGGTTTAGGCACTGAGGATCTAAGCTTTCCCCAGATTGATTTCTGTACAGCTGGAGATTGACCTAGGTTTTTCTTTAACCAAACCTTGAATTCGCAGCTGAGCCGATGCTTGTCATTCTCTACCCCGTTGTTGGATCCGTTTGCTTGATTCCTTTCACCGTTTGTGAACATTTTACCGACGATTACAAGAACCCTCGCGTGTCTGAAAGGTGTTCACTGAATTATTCCGACTCTTCCGCCATTGTGTTTAGGTTTGATTATATTGCAAATTGACTCGCAAAGAATTTACCATTAAAAAGATAACCCAAAAGAATTAAAAATAAAATTATATTTCGAGTAAAGATATTCTTTTTTTTTAAAGAGAATTATTGAGATCAGGCAGGAAGGTGGTACAGAACTGCAGAAGAAATAAGAAGATAAAAAACTGGATTTCATATAGATTCACATTTTCCAACCGGTGATTGTTTAATATGTCTGATCCAAAATGCAACTAACCACGTTGAATCAGTCTACATGTGCTGTATAAAATATCCAATCTCCTTTCCCCATGATCAAGAAAATCAATTAACAGTACGAGAATTTCCTTTTAAAAAAAGGAGGCATGGATAATTGACACAATAATAAATACATACATCATGTTCCCCACATGACTGAAAAAATATCACATAAATCCAAAATTAAAAAGAAAGACCAGGACGACCATTGACTTTACTTGTTATTGGGTGGGTGAAGAAATATTAAATATTGCATGCCCAACTGGATTCTTGTTTGTTTGTTCATAAAAAAAGATTAAAAAAAAAAACTGGGGTTTCTGTTTAGCCGAACTGAAATTGTATCTACAGTCAACTGGTTGAAAATAATCTTTAGCGGAACTGGAATTGGTTTTGCACGAGAGTGAGAATCGAGGAAAGAGAAAATGGTGAATCCAATCCCGGATTCTGTAAGAGAAGTATGGAACAAATGGAATGTGAGAGGAGTCGTCTTGTTTAGCCTTTCATTACAGGCTTTTCTGATCTTGTTCGCTCCATTTAGAAAAACCACAGCGAGAAAATTACTCATCTTGCTCATCTGGTCAGCTTACCTGCTAGCCGATTGGGCCGCCAACTTCGCGGTGGGTCTCATCTCTCAATCTCGAGAAAGTAATTCTTCAGACTCTTCAGCCCAAGACAACCCTAATCTCTTAGTTTTCTGGGCTCCCTTTCTCTTGGTACATCTCGGTGGTCCAGACACTATCACAGCTTTTGCTCTGGAAGATAATGAGCTCTGGTTGCGTCACCTCCTCAGTCTCATCTTCCAGGCTATTGCTACTGGGTATGTCTTCATGCAGACAATTCCAGATAACAAGCTATGGGTTCCAACAACAATCATGTTCGTCGTTGGAATCATCAAATATGTGGAGCGCACCCGTGCTCTGTATCTTGCAAGCTTGGACCAGTTCCGTGACTCCATGCTTAAAAACCCAGATCCTGGACCAAACTATGCCAAACTCATGGAAGAGTACGCTTCAAAGAGAGACGCTAAGCTTCCAACAAAGATTATAATGATACCAGAGCCTGATAAAGAATCAAAACCTTCCCGCACTGCTGTTAAGAAAGGAAAGTTGACCGATCTTGAGGTTGTTCAGTATGCTCATGAATATTACCAAACCTTCAAGGGTCTCATTGTTGATCTCATTTTTAGCTTCCGGGAGAGGGATGAGACCCGGGAGTTTTTCTACGAAAGAGATTCATTAGATGCTTTGAAGGTGATAGAGGTGGAACTTAACTTCATTTATGAAGCTCTTTACACCAAGGTTGAAGTTATGCATTCTAAGAGAGGAGTCATCTTTCGGTTTATAGCCTTTGGTGCACTTGCAGTAGCTCTGGGTTTATTCCATTTCGAGATCAGAAAGACGGGTCGATTTGAGCCTTTTGATGTTCGAGTCACCTACACCCTACTCCTCGGTGGCTTATCTCTAGATGTGATAGCTTTCCTCATGTTCATTTTCTCGGATTGGACATTCGCCACCCTCATCAACATGTCTGATCAAGAATCTGATACTCAAAATATGAGCAGGAGGCCTGAACAAGAACCTACAGTCCAAGAATCAGCTGGCACCCAAAAGAAATCCTTCCTCAAGTCTTTCGTCTCCAGCATTCTCAGTATAAAAAAGCCAAGATGGTATGAATACGAAACTGAATTTGGGCCTGAAACTAAGGTCAAGCACCATGTACTGATTACCCCCATTCTACTTCGAAGGTGGTCTAGAACTATATCTGTTCACAACTTGATTGGATACTGCCTAAAAAAGCGACCCAGCAAGATATATCAAGTCAAGAGCTGGTCCCGTCTCATCCTGGAAAATCTCATTAGTTTCTGTGGCATTCATCTTGTCATCAACAAGATCAGTGAGCTAATAAATACCGTTATAGCTACCGTTGTCTTCTGTAAGGACTACATTGTCAGGAATCTGGGGAGCAACAAAGAAATTCAAGTTCTGCTCTTTCCCATCCAGAAGGTGATGGGAGTTTTGGGTTTTCTCTGGAACATAACATGTAAAGTTTTTGGTTGGATTGGTAGTTTTCTCCTGGAATTTTTCGGGCTGGAAGATTTAATAGATGAAATAAGGTTCTTATCCCACGAGCCATTCACAAAAGAACTCTGGGATTTGATATTTACAGAGGTTAGAAGAAAATCCGAAATCGCAAATGACCCAGAAACCGTAAAGAGGATATCTTCGGCGAGAGGTGAGTGGTTTCTGCAAGACAGGTATTTAAGAGTAGATCGAAACAAGCTGATGGATTACGTGGTGAATGTTGACTATGATCAGAGCCTTCTCTTATGGCATATAGCCACCGAGCTCTGTTACCAGACAGAACCAGAGACAGCAGAAAATTGCATCAACAGGAAACTCAGTAAGATGCTATCAGATTACATGTTGTACCTTCTAATAATGCAACCGACGATGATGTCTGCAGTGGCTGGAATCGGGAAAATAAGATTCCGGGACACCTGCGCGGAAGCAGTAAGGTTTTTCAAGAGGAGACATCTGGAACAGGACACAGTGAAGAATGCTTGTAGGAACATTCTTTCAGTGAATACATATGTAAAACCTATAGAGGTGAAGGGGGATAGAAGCAAATCAGTGTTGTTTGATGGAAGCATGTTGGCGAATGAACTGAAAAGATTGGAGGATGATGAGAAAGAAGACAAATGGGAGATAATAAGTAAAGTTTGGGTAGAATTAATTTCATATGCTGCAAGTCATTGTGATGCAAAGACTCATGCCCAGCAAGTGACTAAAGGGGGAGAGGTGATTTCTTTTGTTTGGTTGTTGATGGCTCATTTTGGTCTTGGAGAACAATTCCAGATCAATGAAGGCCATGCAAGAGCAAAACTGATTGTGGGTAAATGACTCCATTCATCTTTTTCTTTTTAGATGAATATTTGTGTAGGAAGTTGGACTCTTAAAGAGGAAACTTTGTTGCTTAATCCACCCTGCAGCTTCAATTCATTTGCATTTTCAATCAATCTTAGTATATACATGACATACTATATGTCAATAACTGAGAACAAAAATGGAAATGTTGGAAAATAAAGTCTATGGGGACTTTTATCAAGCACTTTCTATGCAGGAAAAGTGAACTGAAAAACTCGTTAATTCAACCATAATAAACCAGCCTCAAATAGAGAAATTTGTAACTATCAACCATAGAAATTACTCCAGTAACTTACACTAACAACCAATTAATTGGGTAGTTCCAAGATGACAAATTTTCTACATTACCCACTAACAACCAAGGATGATAAATATGAATATATAAAACTAAGCAGCTGGAGAACTAGTAAACCTAATCCAGGTCCCCAAACTGGTGGTGGCAGAATCATCCTTACTGGAGCCTCACAAAGTCTTTTAAAATTAAGGATGTTGAAGCTGAAATAGGAGAAGTCGAAGAATTTCAGTTTTGAAGATTAATTAACGGCATTGTTTGTTTCATGGACAATGATGATGGGCTCTGTTACGTATGGTAATAAAAAAATTAGCAAGCAAGGTGCGTGGTTTGTCTTATTTATTAAAAAAATTAGATAAAATAGTTTTGGCAGGTTAAGAAAAGAAATAGAAATTTCCAGAAACGACGGATTGTGTGATTTATTTGGTCTACAAATAGAGGCTGCTATATATGCCTTTTTCATCAAAACACATCTTTATTGACCTTATTTAATTTTCATCAAAAATTGGGTGAAGGTGATTTAATTTGTTACAAATAAAGAAGAAAAGTTGGAATGGTGGTGGCTGAAATTCAAATATAAAAAGTTATATATAAATAATGTGTGTGCATATATATATATATATATATATATATATATATATATGTACGCAAAAAGAAAATTTTGTTCTCTGACGCAGAGTCTTAATGCGAATTTGATTCCTTTGAGATTCCCTTGTGCCATTTCTCTTCATATTTTACCTCTCCTCTCCCCCTCTCTTCATTCCCCATTGCACCCATACACCTGTTTTTCTCCAATATTACTTTCTTCATTTAAAATCCCTTGCTCAAACAATGACGGCTCTATCCGCTGATAACTCTACGGGAAGGTACTCCAATTTCTTCTTCTTCTTCTTATTTCTCTCTCTCGCTCCTTTTTTTCTCTTTTAATCAACCCTTTATCTGGGCTGTTCTAATTTCTTCCCGTTTATGCACTTGCACACAATGTAATCTTCTTTCCAATTCTATGGTTTCTGTTCATATGTTGCCCTGCTCATCATTCTCTGTTTTCTATGTATTCTCTCCAGTTTTGCATGATTCCCGTTGCACATCAGACCCTTGTCTTTTTGCTCCGTGATTCGTTTAATATAAATCTGATTCTTGCAGGAATTTCCACGAGTGTATTATGTTTTATTGGGTGAGGTCTATGATTTTTGAATATTCTGTTGATTAGTATTTAGTCTCTCATCTGATTTAGGAAGTCGATTTCGTGTTCCTTAATCTGGGTCCTTGCTCTTACCATCTGCCCTGCTTTCTTTAATTAGAACGATTTAAGAACACTCTGGTTACCTTTTCATTCTCATGTGACCAGCGTAAAAATAAAGATTTTTTTAATCCAAATTCGGATTTGCATGTCATTGTTATTGTTACTGGTTTGAATGAGAAATTTTGGATTTTTATTTGGGTATTTGACTGTTATGTGTTTGATTGGGAATGCAGCGAAAATTGTCTTTCACATCTTGCACCTCTAGAAGCCGTGCTATTTGATGTTGATGGAACTCTCTGCGATTCAGATCCTCTCCACCACGAAGCCTTCCGTGAAATGCTTCTGGAGGTATGTTGTTTTCATCATCTTTAGGCAAAGGAAGACGGAAAATTTTCAGATATTACTGTTTCTGTGTTATATAGGAATTTGGAGGTGACTATATATTGATTTTCAGTGGGTTCGGTTGTTTCTATTTGTCTTTCGAAGTTCTTGGGATACCTTATTCTCCGCCATTGTATTTATATCTTTCTTGCCTTTATAATACTTTCTTTCTCAATTGGAAAAACAATCATCTTTATTTTCAGCTTCTGCATTGGACAAAGACTCGGATCTGTTATCTTAATATTTTCAAATTGTACTTCGTGTTGAAGAAATCCGGTGATAGTTGTTTGAGGGCATTTACAGATAGTGAATTGTTTTGACAGATTGGTTTCAATGACGGGGTTCCAATTACAGAAGAATTCTTTATTGATAACATTGCTGGAAAGCACAATACTGATATTGCAATGGCTCTCTTTCCTGACGATTTGCCAAGAGGCATGAAGTTCACAGAGGAAAAAGAAGCCTTGTTCCGGAGGTGAAATCTATCGTCCCTCTTCTTATCAGTTTTGCATTAGCTCCTTTTTTCTTCCTGAGAATAAAATGCAAATTCTTGGGTGGACATAAAACAGATTGGCCAAGGAAAAACTGAAGCCAGTGAATGGTCTGTACAAATTGACTAAATGGGTTGAAGAGCGTGGGCTGAAACGAGCTGCTGTTACTAATGCACCAAAAGAAAATGCTGAAGTCTTGATCTCCCTCCTTGGCCTCAAAGAATTTTTTCATGTTGTCATTCAAGGAACTGATTGTGAGCATCCCAAGCCGCACCCAGATCCATACCTAAAGGCCCTCGAAATACTCCAGGTGTCCAAGGATCACACATTTATTTGTGAGGTATTAGACTATCATTTCCGGAACCACCTCAAGTCTACTCCTTACAAAACTTGCTATTCTTAAAAAATTTGTCTTTTTAGGATTGTTGTACAATACCAACCTATTATAATAATCCGATCCTGATAGCACGAGACTTCCTTAGCGATTAGTAGGTTATATTGTGGCTCATGTTGAGTTCCTTGGACTTGTAAAGTAGTCAATCAAATGATTCCCTACTACTCCAGTCGGTTACATAAAATCTGATATTGGTGTTGCTTTTTATTTGCCAGGACTCTGTTTCAGGGATAACAGCTGGAGTCGCTGCAGGGATGCCTGTCATCGGTGTAACCACAAGAAACCCAGAACATATTCTGATGAAAGCCAAACCTACCTTACTTATAAAGGATTATGAGGATCCAAAACTGTGGGCAGCTTTGGAAAAACTTGATGAGGCTGGAGCTTCGGATTGAAAATTTACATTCATGGATCAGTGATTAGAAAAATCCCATCGCAGTACCTCCTAACAAATTTGTTGTTTGAAGAGGTTCAGCACTATTACTTTCTTACTCTTTAACATCATTATACAGCCGAGGATGAAATTATAAACTCTTATATGTTTTTCCATTTTACCCCTAGAAATTTAGGCCAGTGTTTACTTCGTCTGTATCAGGTAACCAACTGGCCAGATGGATTTGAAGAAAGGAATTCATGTGATGAATTTAACTCACCATATCTTCTGTAATTTAAGCCAAGCCAAGGAAATAAATGTAGAACTATCACTTTTGAATTTCTTATCATTTAACCTTCTAACGAGGAAATAACATAATTAATTAATCTGGTAATATGGGATTTACAGTCGATTCAAACTCACTTTGGTCAAAGTTTGGTAATAATTTAAGGAATTTATTCTGTAACCGAGTAGGAAATTGATGGATAATTCAGACACAACAATACAGCATATTGGCATTAACATAGTCGAAAATGCCATTTTCCTAATTCAGTGAACAAGTTCCATAATCATTGATGGCGGCTGGAATACACAGAAAAGGAATGCAGACATATGGGAAAATCTATCTTATACATTACGTCACATGTATTTTTATTTTTATTTTTATATAGAATATTTGTTAAATATAATTTGAATAAATTATATAATTTTCTATAATTAAAAAAAGTCTAATTTGTTTTCAGTAATTAATAAATTTACATGATGGAAATAGTTAATTTAATAAATAACGCTATATGTGTAATTTTTTTTTTTTCCTTTTAAAAACTCTTTTTTAAATAACGTTTTGTTTTAGAATAATAAGGCATTTTTAATTTCAGAAACATTAGAATTTATTTGTAATAAAAATCTCTGAAATTACATGTAACATACAGCTCTTGAATTATATCAACTGTAGGACCACACTTCTATCTTAATCAAGCAAAATGATCCATACAATGACCATAGTTATAACATATTCTCAGAATAAAAATCTCTGAAATATATTCCAAGTGTTTTGGAGGAGAAATGAGTGACAAGTAAATAAATTTCTACTTATTTCCTATATAAAACGAATATTAATTTATATTTTTACTAACATGGTAAGATATGAAAATACCAGCTCCTGCACATCTCTAATTCCATCCATGGGGAAATGCAACTCATATGGCTGAGAATCCAACTTAAACAGAGACTATGAACAAGCAGACTCAGCAATCGAGTTTTATGAGTTGGCCAATACCTGCACAATCCAATGCAAACCAAGAAAACATTGTCCTACCATCTAGAAGACAAATAATTACCTATCATATAGACATTATATAAACAAGGTGAGATTTCCCTCAGCCAGTCCATGAGATCTCATCCCTGGCCGACTTGTACAACTCTAGCCTCTTCGCGAACTGCTGTCTGCTTTCCATAACCTCAGGATCTTCATCAAGTAATCTTGCAAGTTCCTTGCCCTATATAACACACATTAAGAAACTACTTCAGCAAACCAAACCACAAAAACTTCATCTTTGATGCTCCCTACACCAGGGTATAAACACTGTCCTGGTAACAAGGGGGAAGGGGACTACATAAATATTTTGTACGTGTTAAGAGAAATCATAACAGACTTGAAGCCAACGTCCTAAAAATACCCTTCCTACGCTCTTTTCCACAGAGGTTATCTCCGTTCTCAAATTCAAATAGGTCAAGTTCACTACCTCATCTATACTGTAAAAAGAAGTTATCGTCAAGTACCTCCTTTTTGCCAATTTGGGCGTAGAAGTAATCCAGTAAAGACCTCTTTGCCTCCTTCACTTGACAATGCACCACAGCTTTTGGAATGGAGTACCTGAGCGTTGCAGAAACCATCCCTACATAGGAGGAAACATTTGATCCAATCCTGCGGAAGTACCCCTCTCCATATCGATCTGCAGTGGTGGCAGTTGGATTTCCACCTTTTTCAATTTCCTGGGGGAGTTTCCTAAAGAAATCAACAGTAAGGTAGGAGGATTCCATGTCCACCAATCGCAAAGTTGTTTTCCGACTGTCTTCACGAAATCTCTCCAGTGCTTCATTGGCAGCTCTTGTTATCTCAGCTTGAAGAGTTGGAAAGCGTCTCAACTCCTGGCCAAATTCAGGTATCAAGTCACATCCTTCTCATTATCGAATAATTTTACAGGTATGTAATGTTTTTGAAGCCCAAACCTTAGTTTCTCCAACTGATCTCCTCACAAGCTCCTTGAGAATAAAGTGAACCTGCAATCAATACCCATCAAATAACAAATTTCTGCTGCATGAATTTAAAAGTGAGAGACTCAAAATGCTGGAGAAATTAAACCTTAAAACATGCACAATCACATCAAAATAAAAACAGAAAGAAAAGAACACAAAAATTTTACGTGGTTCGCCAACGTACGTGCCTATATCCACGGGTAAGATCGGTAAGAAAGTATTTCATTATGTAATATGAGAGTACATCATCAATATATTAGCAAATCTATTTATAGAGAGAGTAACAGAATTTTTCACAAACAAATGTTTTTTAAAATATACATCAAATATTTTTTATGATAAATATAAAAAAAATTCATATAAATTATCTTCTAAAATATAGATAAATATCACCAAAATTTAAAACACATTAATAAATCTTTCCCTTAGCTTGAATTTCCTCTATCATCAAAACAACTAACCGTCTTGTCGCACCGTCTTGCCAAC